TCACTTTCTGTCTCTCTGTCTCTCTCTGTCTGGCGAGTACACGTGCCCTATAGCAAAAACCTCTCCAAAAAAAAAAAAGAAAGAAAGAAAGAAAGAGTAGGCAAAGAGAAGCACTTCCATGGAGTGAAATGAGTGTCCATGGCTTGCCCAACCAGGAGAAAATAGAGAAGACAGCAGGAACGGCATGAGCACATGAGGAAGTCAAGCCAAGCAAAGCCAGGTGCCCCAACACACTGTGCTCAAGCCGCACAGAGGGTACTTTGGCATCAGGGCTCTTGGTGATGGCTGCCCTTGGCATACTTGTTTCACAAGTCACTCTGCTCCCATGAGTTGGTTGTTCTTCACCTGTGAACATCTGTCATCCTGAACACCTTTCCTTCTTTCCGGGGAATTCCCCTCTCTTTCTCCTATGCTCTCTTTCCTGTTTCCTGATTCGCGCTTCTTCCTCTTCCTGGAGAGAGAAGAATTCTCTCGTTTTTGTGGAGAGCTTCTCCTAGTGACCTCTTGGTAAGGGGTATTTTTTTGAGAACTTGCTCATCATAAAATGTCATTCACCATGGAAATAACTTTCAGCAGAATTTTAAAGACATTGCTTCACAGCCTTGTTCAGTTTAACTACTCAGAATTCTAAAGGAAATATGATTACCTACACTTTCTATGTGACCTGTTTATTCCTGCTCCCAACCCCCAAATCTTCTAGAATATCTTCTTTTATCCCAGGATTTGCACAAACAATGGTTTGTACACTCCAATGCTCTGTCTGTCTTTCTAGAAATTTCTATGACTTGGGGCTGGATTACTTTGACTTATTCTTTAAATTTTTAGTTTTTTTGCCCCATTAAAAAAAAAAATACTCTCAAGTTGGCTCCATAGCATAACTGTTGAAGTGTTGTGTGTAAGGAGTCAGATCCCACATGGCTGACAGAGGTTCGAATCCTAGCCTCAGAGTCTTGGAAAGCAGGCCCAGCACATGTATATGCAGGCCCCAAATCTCCTGACAGGATGGAGAAATTGAGGAAAAAGAATTGTGGTATGACCACATCCCATGGGTGTACTCTCTCTCTCTCTCTCTCTTTTTCTTCTTTCTTTTATCTGCTCTCTGATGAGCATGTGCACCTACTGGCAATAATTATAATATTAATAACTTGTATCTTTTTGCTCTAGACTCTAGGTAATTCCTCAATTTCATTTTCCACATTTTTTCATTGAGTTTTTCATTTATGCTGTCTTATCTTTAATTCCCAAAAATTGTTTTAAAAATTATTTTGGTTCTGGCTGTTCCTTTTGTAGTATTTTAATCTTGTTTCATGAATCGAGATGCTTCTCTCTCCAAGGATATTAAAGATAATTTTTAGTTAAAGATTTTTTTCTAAGATTGGCTTCTCCACATTGATTTTTTCCTTAATTTGTTTTGCTCTCCATCTTTCTTTTTTTTATATAATTATTTATTTTATTTTATTTATTCATTCATGTATTTTTTAATTTGACCAGAGAGAGACAGAGGGTAAGAGTGAGAGAGAGAAAAAGTGAGAAAGTAAGCCACCAGATTCAGGACTTGAACTGTGGTCGGCCATGTGGGAGTGTCCAGCACCTTACTAATACAACCACCTGTTGGACCCCGCTCTCCGTCTTTCATGTAAGAAACTTTCATCAGAGGATTGGGACCTTGTCAATCTGCTCATGATTATGAGAAGAAAGAGCTTTCTGGAAACTGAGAGTGTGCATAGGGCTTATTGACTTTGAGCTTCACCTTTGTGTGAAGTGAATGAGCCATCGTTTGAAAATTTCAAATGTCAGTATATTGGTTTCTTATTGCTGTTGTGACAAATAAACACAAAATTAGTGACATAAACCAACACAAATTTATTACCTTGCAGTTCAAAACAGAAGTCTCAGGTCAGTTTTACTGGACTAAAGCAAAGGTGTTGGCCTGCATTCCTTCTGGAGACTCTAGGTGAGAATTCACGCCTCGCCTTTTCCAGTTTCTGGAGACCATCAGCACTCTGACTGTGCCCCTTCCTTCTTGCTCAAAGCCAGCAATGTGGTAACATCTCTTCAATTCCTGTTTCTCTTCCTACGTTTTCTCTCTGAATCTAACTCTTGCCTCTCTCTTATGAGGGTATTTTGGATTACAGTGGACTCACCTGGATAATACAAGATACTCTCCCTATTTTAAGAGTCTTAATCACACCTGCAAAGTTCATGTCAAGATAACATATTCACAATTTTTAGGGATTAGGGCGTGGCAGTTTTGGTGGGCAATTATTTAGCCTGCTCAAGTCAGCATTTGAGTTGTCCTTGTACACTGACCAGACTCTCCAGAAAGTCTCCCTCTGGGGAGCTAAAATTCTGGCTGGCTGCCAACATTCTGAGCGCTGAGTCAGTGAAGAGGGCTGAGTAGGGAGGGGACTATCTCGACATTTCTCTTTCAGGATATACCATCACATAATCACGCTGATGTGGGTGTAATAGCCATGTCTTAAGTGAATCTAGTGTCTCCCAATCCAGGGGACTTCCATTTTACCTTCCCAGAGAATCAATATTCTGACCCTATGCTTTTCCAGTGACCTTCCTCTATGTCCATCCCCTTTGGTTGTTTTTGTGGCCTTGGCAAAAGACCCAATCTGCTGCAATTGCACTGAGTTTTTTGGGTTTTATTTTTTTCTGCTTCAAATTCTTTATGATGGTCATACAATTGAGGCTGGTTAAATTACAACTGTTTTTCAAAATCTCTGAATATTTTTCTAGATTACTACATGCAAGTGACCATGAAAATACTTGGCCTTTTGAAATTCTGAAGCTCTGAAGAGGCGCTTCCATGAAGAAAACATGGCCTGTTACAGATATTCACATTTAGAATAGGTGCTCCAACACATGGCACACGGAGCCTTCCGCCAGTAAAGTTGGTTACCGATCATTTTATCAAAGTGCCACAGTAGTAAAATTTAAAGAAATAGAATTTGGGTTCTTTAGCTGACTCATAGATAAGGTTATGGACAAGACCCATGCTGAAGTATATTAAAAAATGCTGGTACAAAACCAATGAATCCTATGTGAAAGTAGTTTCCACACAGAGGCTTCACCTGGGCCCCAACGCTCCACATTCAGTGTATGTGAGATCAGACCTCACACACGTGAACGGAAGATTGCAACCTTACTTTAGTGACTGAATAGATGACTTCAATTTAGTGTTAAAAACAAACTGGGTAAAGTTTAAATGTGAGTTTGAACTAGCCCATGTTCCAGTTTATAAACATGAAATTGTCCAGATCCAGGTAACTACAAGCTTCCTAGGTCCTCTGAGTCCCTCATCCCGAGATTCTACCATGAAAATCTTCAGCGTTTATACTGATACATACCTGAATGCCTATTATCAAAGTCAATTGCACTGAGTGTTGATTTAAGTCACCTTGGTTCTCAGAGCTTTTCATGTACTAGCTTGCTTAATCTTCATAACGGCCCTATTATCATCTCTGCTTTATAACTCAGAAACTGAGACAAATAGAGAGGTTAAGTGAACTTGACCAAGGTCACAAACTAATAAGACATAGCCCAGATTTGAACCAGAGAAATCTAAGTATGATGTTAGAGGCCACTTATAAGTCACGTAAATCATATCCATATGCCAAACATTGTTTTCCGGTGTGTGTGTGTGTGTGTGTGTGTGTGTGTGTGTGTACATGTATTTCCACATCCAATCCTCACGCAGCCCTAGAGTAAGCATTCAACCAAAAAGGAAAGACCCTGAAAAAGTGAACAAGAAAATTAATCACTTGACTTAGTGGACATATATAGAATCCTACATCAATATCTGAAGAAAACACATGCTTCTTAACACATAGAACATCTACAAAAATTGGCCACAAAATGAATTTTGAAAGCTTTCGAAGTATCAGAATCATATAGACCACTTTCCATGATCACAAAACAATGAAGCAAGAAAACAATCTTTACAATGTTTAAATGTTGAAAACCATCTTTTTAATCTCCTGTATTTGGGAATCTTATAGCACATTTAAAAACTCATGGATAAAAAATGAATCATGAAGAAAACTAGACAATATTACAACTGAACAATAAGAAAAGTATAATATTTTAAAATTTGTGAGATGGAGACAAAAGGGTAAAGAAAGATGTATAGTACTGAATGATTATTTTAAGGAAAAAAGAAACTTTGAACAATAAACTGGGCATTCAATTATAAAAGTTTGAAAAAGAATGAGAGAGCGAAAGAGAATAGGAGATAAACAATAAGAGCAGAAATGCATAAATTGGCACTCTTTCTCAATTAGGATTAGTTGGCAACAGTCTCTCAGAGTTAAAACGTGGAAAAAGGTAAAGAAACAGGGCCGTTGTACACATACCTGTATGTCTTTCCTAATGTAAGCTCTCTAAATAGATTTTATAGAAACAATTAGAAGATACTCGCCTTTCAAATGACATCTATTTTTGTAACAATTCAAGTAATACCTTTTCAAAGAAATTCTGAAAACATCCAGTGATGCGAAGAAAAGAAAAATAATTTATAAACCCACTATCAGGCAATAATTATTGAGTATGAACTTTAAAATGATTTTCAGTCTTTTGTCTATGTACATTGTTATTTATTTAATTACATAGTTGTTTTTAAATTGGGGCTCAAACTACTCAAACTGTACATATATATTTGTATTCACTTTTTTTACTTCAAATTGCATCTTTGGTATATGCTTTTTGAATACAGAATTTGGAGTGACTATGTTAAAATTTAATTTTACTATAGAGATATCATACTGCATTTGTAGACAATGTTCCTAATTCCATGGGGGAGTTTTTTAAACTAATTTCTATTTATAGTCATTCTATAAATAAGACTATACTGAATTTATTTTCTTAAAGAATTACTATTTCATTTCATTTATTAATTTTTTTTTTCTTTTGTGACAAACGAGAGGCACAGAGAGTGGGAGGGAAAGTGAGAAAGCAAGCCACCAGGTCTGGAACTCAAATCATAGTTGGCCATGTGGGAGTCCAGTGCCCTTAACCACATGCCACCTTCTGACCCCTGTAATTTTATAATTAATGAACCACATTTTGTTTAATCTGTTCCCTAAAGTTAGACTATTTCAAGTATTTGTACTTATCTAGAATATTAAACAATTGTTGCAATTTACATATTTGCATAAATTAAATCTCATAATCTTATTTACTCTCATGGTATATATTCGTAAAAATGAATTTGTTTGGTTAAAAGGCATAAATATTTCTCAAATTCCTGATACATATTGTTTAGGAAAAGATTCTTGAGGTAAGGGTGACATAACTGGTACTTCCAACCTACAATCATAAATTTCACAAGTGGGCACAGTAAGCACCAAATGAAGAAAACGCCAGCATTTGAATTTGAATGTTGCCCTTGACCTTTTATTGTAGGGATAAGAGTCAGATAGATGGCCATATCTTGATAAGGAAAGACATTCTTGTCCTTATTCAAATGATTCCAGGCTATAGAAAAAAAGGAAAAACAATGTGAGTGAAGCTATCAATTTGGCTTCCATAATTGAGGTAGCAACTTCAACTTGTATTTCATGTTCAAAACATGATAGACCAGGAAATGATCTATTTGGAACTGCTAGCAGTGTATTACACATTACGTTGTCAAACAAAATTTTATTCATGATTTAATGTCACTCCTGACTTATTGAATGAGTTTGGCAGGTTCAATCAAAACTAAATAAACAGTATTTTTAACAGATGAAGTAGCATAAAGACATATTTATCCTCTTTTTCAAAACCACCCACTAATGCACACAGTTTAAAGAAGGGTTAGTAGCTGAATGTAGCAGCATTCTAAAGAGAAACTATTTCAATGGGACATGGTTCTGAGCATGTGATTATCTTATAGAGAGGGAAATACCTGATAAATGTTCAGACTTTTTCATGCTTTGGGTTACCTCTACATAGAACACTGAAATGTCATTCATTCAAAACACAATCAATTTTTCACCATACAACGTGTCCAATCATTAAGTTGATTCAATCCATATGAACAAGTCAATGGACATATTGGGATATCAGAAAAACTTGAGGTATTGCAGCATGAGTAAAGACAGGGTGATAGAAATAGGGCAGACATGATAGAATTCTAGAGGCCTTTCCACAAGACTCATTTGAGCCCTGGGAAGTGGCAGCGAAGTGGAGGAGGTCAAAGTACTGGTAAGACTCTTCTACCTGGATGATGACTGAGTAGGTTCCGCACAGTATCTTGGATGACTGAATGACTACTTTGATGAGACAGACAATCACTTGAAGCCCACTCAGGGTTATGAGGATGGAAAATAAAATGATGTTCCACTCCACAACATGTGCAGGTTCCAGGCACTGAATCCATATGCTAGAGTCTGTAAGGAAACTGACAGAAAGGAGGGGAATGGTCAGCAAGACCCACGACCTAGTGTACATACTTTGTCCAAAGAAGAAGGCGAAAGGTATTTATATCTTGTGGAAATCCATATATATAATTAAAATAGGTAGTAATATTAAAAACAAACTTACTTTAGAAATTATTCAGATACTTATATTGAACACAGTATGCATAGGATCAAGCTAGAAACTTAGTTTATTACAAACATGGTGTCCACCTTAGAGGTAATTCTGCTTCCACTAGGAGGCAAGACACGCAGAAGGGTTAAATAGTAATGAAAGACACCATGTGTCAGGACCAAGAAAGTTAGAGAAATCCTGTTCTCTGGGAGTATATAGGTTGGCCTGGACTGCCAGGAATGGAGTTGAGCCTGCAATGGACACAAAATCCCACATGAAGCAAAATAACAAAGAGAAATCCTGCTAGGAATTTCTTGGCTCTGTCTCAAAGTTCATTAGAATAGTGGTTCTCAAACTTGACTTGACATTAAGATTATCTGGAATATTTGTTAAAATTCAGAGTTCTGCATCCTTGCCTAGAGTTTCTGCTCTGCAAGGTTTGGATCCTTTCCTTTTCTAAGTTTCCAGGTTTTGCTGTTGCTGCTGATCTGAATCCACATTGTGAGAGTGCCTGTTTAGAATATTGCTGTCTCTCACCTGTTGAGATTTCAATCATGAGGTGGAACCTCAACAGATGTAAAAAGTCAATCATGGGCTGGCCTGATGGTTAAGAAAGCCAGATCCCACATGGCTGATTGCAGTTTGGATCCCTGCCCAAGTGGTTTGAAGAATGCTCTGGGTACATGTATGTGCATGCCCCAAATCTCAAAAAGATGGAAAATTGCAGGACCAGCAGTTAGTGTAATGGCTATGTCGCTGGACTCCCATGTAGTTGACCGTGGTTTGAGTCCCGGACCTGGTGGCTTAAACTCACGCCAGGCGCGTGTGCATGCGTGCCCAAGATCTTGAGAGGAGAATGGAGGAGAAGGGATTGCGGTGTGACCATCCCCCCTGGGGGGGGTGATTTTTCGCTTTCTGTTTCTCTGTCTCTCTCTGTCTGTCTGGTGAGCTCACACGCCCTATAGCGAAAAAAGCCTCTCCAAAAATAAAAAGATGGAAAATTGGAGAAAGGATGGCAGTGTGACCATACCCTATTGGGAGGTGATTTTTCTCTGTCTCCCCCTGTCTTTTTCTAGAAAGCACATGCACTCCCTGGAAATGAAATGGAATAAATAAATAAATAAATAAAACTCTCTGGAAAATTAAAAATAAATCATTAAAAGACATTTTCAGTCAATCTAGTTTAGCAGAGGAATGTGAGAATTAAGCCATTCTCAAGATGACCTTAAAACCATGCTAAGTCAACCTGACAGACTTGCGTTCACTTTTAAGTCTGTGGCAGCCATTAGTCCTAGTCCTAAGGACAAGACACTCTGTTCGGCTAAACTGAAATGAAGAGGTGGTCTCCTCAAAACAAGGCAAACAATCAAGCCAAGTTATAAGATAGTGATGTTTATAAATATCTTGCATTAATAGCCAGATCATTTTTTTTTCAGAAGAGCAATAGGCAACTTGAGTACTAGCCAAGTGGCCATGAGTGTTGGTGTCCGGAGTAAAAAGGGGTAAATTCTCTACTTTGGTGACCACTCCCACCTCCATGGCCTTTCCTCTTTGCTGTTCTTTCTCCCTCTACCAATTCTTCCTTACTCCCTTCCTTTTAACTCTCTTTCTATAAATCTGTGTCTTATACTCTTCACGTATCTATATGGGCATCTGTTTCTGTTTTCTTAGCAGACTGTGTACTTTGAGAGGACTGGTTATGTTTTATTCATCTCTGAATGGCCAGGTCTAAGACCTAAGGCAGTGCCTGATATATTATAAAGATTAACAAATATTTGTTGAACCAAAACTCATCAGGATCCTCGCAAATCACCTTGCCAGCAGCTGGACCCTCAGGCTATCTAGCAGATGGAGAATATCACGTGGCATAAAAGAAAATGCAGAGTAATGAAGTTAATAAGAAAACATGGAGAGTTTATATTTGGAGCTTAGGGAGCATCAGCTGCATAACCTGCTTCTCAGGCTTCAAACGTTCCCCAGGAGACTTCGGTTCTGGTTCCAACAGGCCTTTCCTTGTCTATAATGCCCCACCCCCAGGGTTTGCATGTGGAACTGGGGCATATTGGCTACACTGCCCCATGGCCTGCTTCCTGGTCTCCCAGTTCCAACAGTCCTCCCCATGAGTGCACCCTTCCCCACCCCTCCATTTTGCATTTGAAGCTCAGAGCACATCCTGTTTTTTAGGCTCCAACTGTCTGGCAGGAGACTTTGGTCCTGGTTCCAGCAGGTCTCTTCTTGTGAGTGTATCCACCCCACCCCCAGAGATTGCTATTGGAACTGAGGGCATGGGGCCTTGAGCCTCTGGACTAAGTCGTATCTCTGTATCTCATCCCCAGCTCAACAGAAACTGCAAGTTTGGAAGAGAAGCCAACCACTTGAAACTACTTATATAGACTTTATCTGCTCTGATCTGGAAGACACAGCCCTTTAACAGGATCACTCCAGGATCTAAGGGTGATAGTCCCTCCTCCTACACATTGAATCTTGTCCAATAAATAGGAAGAAGTCCATACTGCACCAGGTGACCAAAAATTAGCACAGAGGCAGAGGAAACATGAGAAAACAAGGACATAACTCTTCTCCCAAGGGAACACAGTGACCCCTTCACCAACAATGGGCAACATAAAAGAATTCATAGAAATGTCAGAAAAAGAGTTCCTAACATTCATTGTGACAAAACTTAATGAGATAAAAGAGAACAGAAAACCAATTCTAGGAAATGAGGAGATCATTCCAGGACTTGAAGAAAGAATTCCATAGAGATAGACACCCTAAAAAAGAATCAAACAGAACTCCTGAAAATAAAGAATATAATCCAAGAAATTAAAATCACTCTTGAAAGCATTTACAGCAGATTGGATGATGCAGAAGAAAACATTTCTGACCTTAAAGACAAAGTCTCTAACATAGATCAAACCACCAAAAAGAATGGGGGAAAAAAATGAGGATAACATATGAGAAATTCTAGATACTATGCAATGCCCAAATAGCTGTATAACAGGCATTCCAAAAGGTGAAAAAGCTGGTAAACACATGGAAAACCTCTTTTACAAAATACTACCTGAAATGTTTCAAATCTAGAGAAACAGGGAGAAATTTAGACCTAAGAATAAAATCCACAAATAGAATGAATAAAAATATATCCCTCCCTGCACATCAGATAAAATCAAAGATGAAGACAAGATTCTAAAAATGACAAGAGAGAAATGTCAAGTTACTTAAGGAGATTATCCTATCAGGCTAACATCAGACCTCTCAAATGAAACTATGCAGGGAAGGAAAGAATGAGAAGACATATTCCAAACATTAGAAGTAAACAATTTCGACCAAGAATACTCTATCTGGTAAGAGTATCCTTCAAATGGAAAGAAGAAAGAAAATCATTCTCAGATAAACCAAAAGCAAAAGAATCCTACACCAACTCTTAGAGAAGTACTGTAGGAAGTACGAGATCAGGGAAACTAAACAGAGACAAATAGAAATAAGAGAACAAAAAAGAACCAAGAAGATTGCTAACAAAATGGGAGGGATAAGTCCAGAAAAATCGTTAAAAACATTTCATGTTAGTGGAAATCTTCAATTAACAGACACAGATTGGCTGAATGGATAAAAATACAGGAACTCTCCATGTATTGTTTACAAGACACACACCTAACTGATAAAGACACACATAGACTGAAAGTGAAGGGCTGGAAAAACATATTTCATGCAAGTGGAAATTAAAAAACACTGGAGTCACAGAATTGATATCAGATAAAATAGACTTCAAGGTGAGAGCTACAAGAAGGGACAAAGAATGATACTATACAGTACTAAAAGGAAAACATAACACTTCTAAATATCTGTGTAACCAACACTGTAACACCCAAATATGTAAAAGAGAGACTGTTAGATCTATGGGAAAGATAGATTGCAACACAAATATCATTGGGGGTCACAACACCCCATTGTCTCCTCTGCACAGATCATCTAGGCAAAAAGTTAACAGAGACACAAGCTCTAAATGATAACAGAAACCAAATGAACTTGACAGACACCTATAGAATATTTCACCCAGCAACTGAAAAATAAACATTTTTCTCACACCCACATGGAACACTTTTGAAGACTGACCATGTGATAGGGCACAAAATAAGCCTTTTCAAATTTAAAGGTATAGAAACTATACCCAGTATATTTTTTGACCATGATGGAATAAGACTTAAAGTCAACTAGAAAGAGCCCTCAAAAATACACATCCACATGGAAACTAAACAACCTACTTCTGAATGACTTCACAGTCATTGAAAAAATTAAGACTAGAATCTAAATATTCATTGAAACCAACAATAATGAATGAAAGAGTTTTTGTAGTCTATGAGACACAGCAAAAGCAATCATACAAGAGAAGTTCATAGCAATTAGTGCTCATAACAAAAGAACAGAAAGGTGATAAGTAGACAATTTAATGACCCACTTCTAGAACTGGAAAAGCAACAAAAACAGCAACAACAAAAAGATACTGGGAGAAAAGAAACAATAAAGATTTTAGGAGAAATAATTGAAACAAGAATAAAAGAACTATACAGAAAATAAATAAAACTGAAAGCTGGTTCTTTGAGAAAATAAAATTGACACACCATTAAATAGATCACTCAAGAACAGAGAAAGGAATCAGAAAAATCAAATCAACTATGAAATAGGTGCAGAAAAGTACAACAGATATAACAGAAATACAAAAGATCATAAGAGAATACTGCAAGAAATTATATGCCAATACACAAGAAAACCTAAACGAGATGGAAAAATTCCTGGACATATGTAACTTACCAAGATTGAATCAGAAAGAAATATTGTAGAAAGCCTGAATAGAACAATAACAAGCAACAA